TTACCAGTCAGTGGAAGGAGAATACCATGAAAAGGCTGTGGAGCTTTTAAAGATTGCTCATGGTAAGTTTTCTTAGATAAGAAGTTCATGTGTCTTTGTAATCTATTGACAAAAGTGCCAAGGATCTATTCATATGAAACATTTCAGATAGTAATTTATGTATTTATTAATTTAGGCATTTTTATATAGAGCTTACCTTAATTATTAAAAACGTGTAAACTAAGTAAAATAAAAATGAAAAACCAGAGACACTAGGATAGCAACTACTATACTATAGAAACAATTAAAATGGCTATAAAAACGAGTACACTTTGGCACGTTTTGGTCTAAACTACAGGATCAGCCCGTCACTGTGTGAAACAGTAATGAATAATGATAAAGTGCTTACCATCTTAATAGGTGTAGTCAATGTTTAATCTATGAGGATTTTTTTTTTTTTTTTTGCCTTCTTTTTATACAAAAAAATGTTAACAAAACTCAAGCATGATCGTAATTTATGTAAAAAAAAAAAAGAAAAAAGAAAAAATGCTTAACATATTAATAGGTGTAATAAATTTTTAATCTATGAGGATTTTTTTTTTTTTTTTTTTGCCTTCTTTTTATACAAAAAAATGTTAACAAAACTCAAGCATGATCGTAATTTATGTGCAGTCATCAAACACGGAACTAATTTATTTTCATTCATTTCTTTGAAACCTCCTGCAGGAGCTATGGATTATTTATATGTTAGTTGTTTTGTTCGGATATCTCAATAGTCCCATGGATCATCATTTTCTCTTCTTTGGTTTTGAATCAATATTTTCTTTATTAATGATCTTTCCAAACAGGTACAGTAAAGCTGGTTGTTCGGTACACTCCACGTGTTCTAGATGAAATGGAGGCACGTTTTGACAAACAGAGAGCTGCTAATCGTCGACCACCACCCCAGTGATTAGATGTTCGCACTTTTAACCATCAGAATTAGAAGGTCTGTTCTTGTGTTTAACTGTCTGGATAAGAATATCTGTATGATTTTTTTTATCCCTTTCACTGATTAGCCACCACATAGACAAACCAGCTGTGGCCAATTAATTCTAGGTCACATTTACTACGATTACAAACATTGACGCTACCAGAGGCTCGTGGCCATAACAAAAAAAAATGCCCAGCCGCTCCCACTGGCTCATGGTAGTCAATCAGTTAACCATCTGTATTAGAAGACACTAGACTGCAGAAAAACTTAAAATTGGAGTCTTTCTGACTGTGTAGCTTATTTTAAAGTGACACACCTTCCCGTTTATGAAATAGTCAAAGCTGCGTCAAGAGATCTATTAGTTTTTAAGCATTAGCAAACATGATTTGTTTTGGTAAGAAAATAGTTATCTGTCTATGTTATTACCAATTATCAGGTGATAAGTTCATACATGTATAAATAAGGCAACTCAACACTGATGCACATTCAACAAAACTGTATTTACTCCATTCACAAGACTACACTATAGCACACAATAGCTCTACACTAAGCCAATAAAAACTACTCAAGACTAACCATAACAGCAAATGCTCCGGACGAATCTAACATCTTAGCTACATACACTAATCTAATGTGTCAACTACTCCACAGGAAACATATATGTCAACTACTCCACATGAAACAAATATGTCAACTGCCTGAAATATCTACACACACACTACCTTAACAAGAGGTACAAGGTCATACTCAAGATACTAATAATATCTTGAAAACAAAGATCTACTAAGCCGCACGGTGCTAACACCAAAGCACACAACTGACACGCAACCATTCTAATAAATATTGTAGTCTCAAGTCAGGCTTTGACAGTGTCACCTGGACAGTGTCTGTCTCATGGGCAGTGTCTATGAGATATCATATGACTGTCACACGGGCATTGTGTATAATATATATCACATGACTCACCCGTGCAGTGTCTATGATATGTCACATATGATTCTCACCTGGGTAGTATGTATGATATATCATGTACAATGTACACTCTCACCCTGGAAGTGCATATGATATGTCACATATGACTGTTAACTGGGTCAGGTCTTTGATATACAAGACTGCGTTAATTTGACCATGACACAACAAAATTTTAGAATGGTCCAGCCTTTGTCCATTCAAATGCTCAAGTTTGTCTGAATCATACTTAACCGTCTTATTTATAATAAGTGAAATAGGGTTCTATTAAGGAGATGGACAATACAATCTAGAAATGCATGTAGGAGCCCCCGCATCTCAACAGCTTTCGTAATCGTGAACACTTGATATCTTTCATAACCAAGGATGGGAACATTCTACATCTCAATAGCAAACTTCTAGATTTTGTAAAACAACGTTTCTAATCAAGAACACGTCAGTTCTGCATATTATTTAATAAGTATTACAAATAATCAAGCACATAGGAGGAAATTGTAATGCTTGGCACCAAGTTAGTTGTTGATGTAAAACACAAGAGATGCGATAGACTCATGCTGCGACAGTTTAATCTTCAGATTTTTCCTTGAGGATCACTGGGTATACTCTATAACTCATGGCAGTTATAAAACAGAACTCCTTGATTTTTTTTAACTTTAATATTTTTTGACCAGCCTTAAAATGTTCCAGCTTTAGTCTAACTAAACATGCAAGGTCCATAAAAAGAATGAACTGCAAAATGCTCATGAAGCAGTTGAAGGGTCTCAATTGCAGATTTACACAATTAAATGCAAATCTTGTCAGAAGTGAGTTCTGGTTTGTCATGAGATACTGGAGCTGATTACAAAGACAGATGTAAAAGTTAACAGCATGTAGACAGAGCTAAACAACTTGGCAGACCTAATTAAGAGCCATTGTAAACAATGAACCTCATCAGTGTCACAGAGCTAAAATCACAGTAAATACTGTCTTGATTTTTGCCATGTTACTATTTAGTTATTGTGTTTATTTTTACACCCTGCATCTGAATAAGAGTTCTATTTAATAAAATATCCTTTTTTTTTTTCTTTTTAAAATCATTTCCCAGGTTGTGTCAGATTGTTTGATTTGTGACCAAAGCTTTAGCACACTCTGGGCAGCAAAGTTTTGTTTCCAAGAACACAGCGCACCATGGCGGCCACGGTGCTGGTTTGGTCGACATTTGTTTCAATGCAGATCATTATTTTAAACATTTCTTTGTTTAAATTTATGTCACTAGATAAAATAACATGACATGCCCTTCTCTCTGTTTTAAATGAAAATATTTTGTTAGCTTTGAACAAATTTCTGAGTTTTATTGTTATTATTTTATTTCAAAATTAATTTCAAATTTGAATAAAATAATGAGCAATCTTTAGTCTTACTACTACATGAACACTGTTAGGCATTAGATTGTGGTCTGTAAATAGAAGATGAATTTGAGATACTGAGTTTTTAATTAATAGGATGGAATTGTGGTTGGTTAGTTTTAATCACAGGTATCTGCATTGTATATTTTACTGAAATTAATTGAGTTTAAATGAATGTACTCCAGTTTTATGCATGGAGTTGGAAAGAGTAATAGAGTTGATATCCCTTTATTTGTTTTTATAATACTAAAATGTACATTTGGTGATAAAAGTTTCCTGCTCTATATTCTTTAGTAAAGCTTCTCCGTTTTCTCATAACTATCTGGTTCTAAACTTACAAATAGTTTTTGCTAATGTTAATTACTATTCAAGTTAAGTGACTATTTGAGCCACACTTATCACATCACTTGATTTTTTTTTTACATTCTAATTTTAAGTGAATAAATATAATGAATTACACCAGGCCTTTAAACAGTCAGCACTTACAGCTCTACAATAATCAAAAGGTTCAAATAATGCATTTTAAAACAATTCTTGGCAACGTGATACCTTATTGTCACAGTTCCAGAAAATCAGTTACTTCTTCGGTCCAAACCTTTTGTTTTGTGAACATCTGCCTTTTTTTCCCCCAATAAACTTGAAGCAATTTCAAGTAATTCCTTCATCAAGCTTATATAGATACAAGTTCATTCATAAAGCTTAGGTCACTTAAACCTATGTGGATACAAATTCATTTCCATTAACAACAAACTGGATTTTTAAAATTCATGTTTGGAATTTTACTGTTATATATTTTTTTTAAAAATAAGCTTCATTTAATGGTTTAGATTTAACAGTCCTCGTGTTACGTTAATTTTAAATTACTTTTCTTAGAAATAAACTATTTTCAATGACTATTCTTCAGGGTGAAGAAAGAATGTCTAGTATGCTGTGAGATTACTGGGTATGATCAGACTTAATGTTTCTTTTTGTTTGTGTTTTTTTTTTTTTCATTTTCCTAGCTTAATCATTCCTTGGATGTGCTGTTTGAATATATTAATTAATGGGTGCACATTTTTTTTATTACTGAATAAACATTTGTGTTTAATAAACAGAATAACTTATGAGGTTGTGTGTGTTTTTTTTAAATTTACTTAAGAATGGTTTGATGTATCCCAACCATAGCACACATTTTCAAGTAGAATTTGTGTATTGATGCAACAGTTTACACTTTAATGCATTTAGATTTTATTCTATTTTACCCTTTGTACTAATGAATTATTAACATTTTTTTACCCAGTGTATCAAATAAATAAATTTCAAATGACATATACTCGTACTTTGGTCTATGTTTTTGATAGTGAGCAAGGTAATCTTACGACATACTAGAGAGAAGAAAGGTGAATTCAATTTTAAATGTGTATATTTGGTAATTCATCTTTGCTATATGCGGTAATATAAAAAGAAATGGAAAGTTAAGGTAACCTTGTGTGTAAAAATCAAGAATGACCAGTTTTCATGCAAACCACAAAAAAGCTTGATACAATTATTTTAGTTGTGATCTTGGCAGTAGAGTAGCTACAGTTTGTGATACCCATGGCGTTTTTGACAAAGAATAATATATGTTTAAGTTATAACATCAGATATTTAATAATAAAAAAACATACAATTTAGAAATCAGTTTTATTTCAATAATTTTTTATTACTTACAAATACCTGTAATTAAAAAGATTTTTAAAAAATCAATTGATAACTGTAACAAACTACTAAATGCTTGAAAGAATTATGAACTATCTACTTAATTTACAAAATCTAACTTTTCTGACCATGGAAAAAAAATTATTTGAATTCTTATTTGGTTTTACACAGTTTATTGCCTGAGATTTTATTTCTTGGATTTTAGTATTTGCTTTGAAATAATATTTATAATCATTTTCCAGTCATCACAGTAAGTAATATATCAGGTTTAAATTTTTTAATCACATTAAAAAAACAATAACAATAGAGGTTTGAAGGAATCAAATATTTATTGAAATAACATGAATGTATCATTATAGATATGTGAAATTGCGGTCTGTCTTGAAATAATTTTTGGGTAAGTAGTAGGAAAAATTAAATAAATATTTTGTCTGAAGTACCGTATTTCAACACAAAATAAAGGTATGCAGTAATTTAGAGATGGAACAAAAATTCAATAATTTTATTGGAAATGAAGATTATTTTATTGAGCAAGTTGTCAATCAGGCCGTTTTTCTTAGTGTAACATTTATTACAGTATAGATCTGTTGTAGGCTGCATATTTTCATAGTTTCTATGGTGAACTCAAAATATTATTTGACTCAGCAAGCAAGAAATTTTTCTATCAAATGGAAATTTAATAAAGAATTCAACCATATCATCAAACTTCAACCAAAATTTAATTTCAATTTTACACTAAATTGCTTAACAAGCTAAAAATGTTGTCTTCCATTTAGAGCTCAGAGCACTATACATGTCTTTCTCAAAATTCATATCTTCAAATTAGGATCTTTGAATTGTAATTTTACACATGAATCCCATGGTACAAAATGAACTTCCAAAACAATGTTGAGTCAAAGATTTTCAACCAAAAAAAAATAACATTTGAATGTTTGAGTTTCCTGTAAAGATAAAATATCATTTAGCGTTTCTGTGATGGAAGAATACTGGTACTTTGGTATAGAACTTAAGAAAATTTGATAAATTGAAGAAGTAGCTAATCATTTTAAGATCACATTTGCCAAAAGCTGAAGAGTTACAATTTCTTTTCTGGAATTCTCACATAAAATGCACAATTCAAAACCTGATATCTCAGTTTGTACAATTTTAAGTCTGAGAATAAATCTTATTAATTTTATTTAAAATGTTTTATGGATTCTGTACTTAATGGACAATAATACCAAATTTAAAAAAAACAACTTTAAGCTGCTTAAGTTAAAGGTTGGGATTTTACAGAATCTACTTCCTGTCAATGGCAATTTCTCCCCACACACTGGTCCTTAAATAACTTGCGTTGACTGGCAATAGTGCAGCTCATCTCTGGTCTATCCAAAATATAAAATTTCCATTTGTGTCACATGTGGATCACTTTGTTACAAATGAAACAAATCACCTGATAAAAGTAACATTTTTTTAAAAATAATATATAAATAAAGCGGTCCACCAAAGTAGCTTTTTCTTACAATCCAGTTTGTTTTTTTGGGGGGAAACCAAAAGAAACTTGTCATTGGTGAATGAACTTGCATTAAATACCATAATCGAAGCATCTTGATATTTGAACCTGTGATAGATACAAAAAATACCAATCATTATTTTTATTATCCCATGGTCCTAATAGATGCATAACAACTAGCTAGAGAAATGAAAGTTCCTGACCTTGACACCAACTCAGATGAAGGAATTAGGTGAGTGTCAAGGTGTTAGAATCCCTGAGAGTCTGTTGTTTGTGGGGGATGTCCATTTGTTATGAATGAGGGCGGAGAGAGAGAGAGTGCCTGAATGCCTGTCGGAACGTAAGCGTAGGGATACTATAAAGAGAGTCTAGAATTAAGGGGTAATAGAGTGCAGGTGGACATCTTATACAATAACGGAATATGATGCTTTGATGGCTCCATTAAAAATTGAACCAAACTTTTCCCTCGCTTCTGTATTACATTATCGGAATACACAGATATCGGAAAACACAGAATTGTTTTATGCAAAGGAAAAATATCTTAATGAATCACTTGTCACATCTGTTAGTGCCCGGTTTTTTTTTTTTTTTTTTTTTTTTTTTTTTTTTTTTTTTTTTTTTTTTTTTTTTTTTTTTTTTTTTTTTTTAAAAATTCAAGATCCTTTAAAAGAAACTTTTATATATTTTAATGATCTTGGGAAATGTTTTGACCAAATTTTGGGAATTACAAAAAATTGAGTGGCAGCCCTGGTGAGGGTGTGTCTTGATGATGGTAGATATTTAAGCGTGTATCTTTTCTGCTTGCGTATCAGAAAACATTGATTTAAGAATAATACTATTAGAGAACACTGACTTTAAAACGCACTCACTTACCTGTTGGATATCACCTGTGAAGTCACCGTAATTCTCCAAGTCACCCGCCTTTCCAACATCCCAGCCACAGACCCCGACCTGGATATGAGGGTCACCTGGGGAATCATGAAACACTTTGACAGTTCATTAATCAGTACTGATTTGGTTCTTGTTAAAATAAACAAGGCCAGAAACGCCAGTGGGAGCTATAATAATGATTCATTAGTAAGCGATCTATTTCGAGAAACAAATTTATCTTACACATGAAGTATAAAGCTTAGTAATGATTTTTTTTTTCCGTAATAAAAATCTTTTTTTTTTAAATATATTTTCACATAATTAAGTAGGATTCGCAATGATCCTCCAAAATATGTTTTTGTAAAGAAACTAAAAATGGTATCTTATTAAAAAAAATTGTAATATAAAAATAAATAATCAAACAAACAAACGAAACAAAAGACACACAAAAAAGAAAGCTTTTTTTCAACCTTTTTACCTTTTTTTTTTAAGTTCCTAAAAACGTATTTAATAACGCAGTGGACCTTTGACTCTCTAACACAATCGCATTCAAAAGATGAAGTAATGAAACAAAACAACAACAAACGTTGGTCAGATGTCAGCCCAACCTTTAATATAGGACGTGTAGGTGAGCTGGCCAACAGTGATCTCCATGGTGATCTCTCCTTTGGAGTACACGACTCGCACGTCACGCCAGGCAGTTTGGTTTAGACCCTGGAACACAAAACGGTAACTGTTCAATAAAAAATTGTTTAAACAAATCTTTAAATAACGGAAACCTGTTTGTGTCTTAAGCACTCATTACTGTTCTTTGATTACAGGTTCCCAGGCCATAAGAACCCACCCCCCCCTTTTCCCGCAATCCCCCGGTGGGAGATTCGGACCACTTCAAGTAGTTCACGTAAAGCCCTTCAACAGCGCATATTTTCATGGTTACCGGAAATTTGATCGAAAGAAATTTCGTCGACGGAAATTTGATCGAACAGAAATCTGGTCGAATCTTTTTTTTTTTTTTTTCAGTTCACACGTTAAAATTTACTTCAAATTTCTTTTCAAACGCGCTATACTATATAGTAAAAAAAAATAATGCGTTCAAAAAAAAATTTTAAGCAAAATTTTAACGTGTATACTTGAAAAAAAATATTCAACCAAATTTCCGTTCGATCAAATTACATGGTTACCGGAAATTTGATCGAAAGAAATTTCGTCGACGGAAATTTGATCGAACAGAAATCTGGTCGAATCTTTTTTTTTTTTTTTCAGTTCACACGTTAAAATTTACTTCAAATTTCTTTTCAAACGCGCTATACTATATAGTAAAACAAAATAATGCGTTCAAAAAGAAATTTGAAGCAAAATTTTAACGTGTATACTTGAAAAAAAATATTCAACCAAATTTCCGTTCGATCAAATTTCCGTCGATCAATTTCCCGGATACCTATTTTCATATAGATAATCACAGCGATGATTTCAGAATGAAGCTTCTCAAGAACGATATAGGCATATTAGTAGCGTGACTATATGTTTGTAGACTTTCCCGAAGTCGTCATTAAAGAAGGTGATATAGAATACGAACTCGGCATGCTCTGGCCCCGGATTGGGGTCTATAGTTGGGTTGGGGGAGGGGAGGGGAGTGAAGTGGGGGTTTGCGCACTTGGAATGACAGACCATATTTTACTTTATTGGAGTGTCTTGGTTTGCTCTTCTAACATCTAAATATTGCTTACTGTGAACTGCACTTTTTGGGAAATTAGCAGCGTGATTATATGTTGGGGACTTTTGGGGAAAATCTACCTTCATAATCTTACTTTAAGTCACTTCGTCTCACTTAGAAGGGATTTCATACTTAACTTAAGAATAAATACTATTCAATTTCAATAAGATTAAAAAAAAGGAACAAAAAATTAAGAAACAAAACCAAAAAAAACCATATTAAAACATCTCCAAAAAACCCCACTTCAAACATTGCTAACAAATGAATTATTTCTGAAATACTTGCCAACAGTGGTATGGACGACGAGACGAAAATTCCATTGCCGGAGACGATCTCTAAGCTCAGATTGGAACCGTCATCTACCAAAGAACATGTCCCTCCTTTCTGACATTCTCTAGAGCGGACAAGCACCTGGGCCTGGGGCGAAGAAGTCGCGTTATCATCATCGTCGCCGTCGTCACTGTATCGGTACCGGAACCGAATGGCCAGCGGTCTGTTGGAGTCGTGATGAATCAAAACGCGGCTCTCACACATGGGCCCCGCGGGGGCCACCGAGGTGTCATTGTTGTCGCTTGTGGTATTGTAAGCTTCAGATGCACCGTCCATCCATGCCATGTACGGGCAATCTAAAAAAAAAAAATGTATTTATAATAAAAGTGAGCTTTTATTGGTGATTTAACAGGACGCTGTTTGCTTCAGTCTGACACGCCCCACCCCTTTTTGTACGACATGCATTCACTGGGTAAGCTTTGCTGGGCGGAACCCTACACCTGCTGCTACAAACGTTGCACCCATTTTACTTTCAAAGCATAATGATAAGACGCTACAAAAATCTCTTTAACTTCCTAAACCATCGCCCTCTTACTAATAACGTATACAGACCAATTTTTACCATAATTTTATCATACCCCACGAATAAGGGTTGCCAATTTTCTGACAGTCAGTCCGTAAAATTTTGACATAAACTGACTTTCCTTTAAATTTCGTACGCAATAAAGGGTGTACAATCTTTAAATTCCGTACGCAATAAAGGGTATACAATCTTTACATTTCGTACGAAATAAAGGGTGTACAATCTTTAAATTCCGTACGCAATAAAGGGTGTAGAATCTTTAAATTTCGTACGAAATAAAGGGTATACAATCTTTACATTTCGTACGAAATAAAGGGTGTACAATCTTTAAATTCCGTACGCAATAAAGGGTGTACAATCTTTAAATTCCGTACGCAATAAAGAGTGTACAATCTTTAATTTTTTTTTAAAAAATGTGCAAAATGCTTTTGAAGTGAAACAAAGAAAAGTTTAAATCTCAGTGTTTGTGATTTCATTTGTGTTTGACGTGCGTTATCATAATTTAGGAGAAATTTAATACTGATGAGAATGCCAGTGTTGTAAAATAAGCTCCGAAATGTCATGTGCAATAGGCTTAGAGTCGTAACATGATGACATCGCCCTATTCGGACATTTGAAGTTTTATTTTCATATTTATAGTTAAAACAACTTTATTTTACAATAATTTTGACTTTAAAATGTACGCCTTCACGTTAAAATCGTTTCGATTTTTTACAGAGCTTTTGTCAGAAAATTGTTTTAGTTTGCAACGCCTGCCGCCAGTTTCCGAGACCGACCTTTGTCGAAATTTTCGTTTGCTCTACAAGAGCAGGACGCGAGGTCAAACTCAGTTCCAAACAGACACGAAGAGGTCAGCCAGCCAGTCTTCAATGGGATGATGAATTTTGTGTTGTCCTCGTTTGGTGTGAGATCACAGGTTGCTGTAGAGGACATTAACCAAATCCCATTAAATACTTTAAACAGACATCGAATAGTGACCGTAATTAAGTTAAAAAATAACATTTTTCCCCAATGCTATATATTTATAGATTATCCATGCTAGCTATATCAAAGACACACAAATATAACTGTAAGTGGCAAGTGGAAAGTTGTTGAGCCGTCCTGGGAAATGAGACATTTGAATAGGCGACGTCTTTAGTGTTAGCGGATGGGTAACAATGGCATTACCCTTGCATAAAAATCTGTGCACATTGATTATTGTATTTCTTTTGTAAAAAAAAAAAAGAAAAAAAATAGAATCCTTTTAGGAGCCAACGTCAGACTTAGGCTCATGGCCCCAATTATTATACAAATAAAGAGTACCCAAAATTACTTAGTGGGCAGAGCAGTCACGCTAGCCCTGCAGCCCGCGCTGCTTCAGGTGGGCCTCGGAGAGTTAACTGGCCCAAACTTGTCAACTGGTTAGGATTTTAATGATCGGCTTTGAATGCAGGGTGCAAAATAATTTAAACTGGGAGGGAGTCTCCAAAAGCTTTAAACAGGAGGGACTCTCCAGCGACTCAGCTTGGCGGGTGACCTCTACCTCCCATAGGACAGAACTGGTAGTAAGCGATTTAACAAGAACCAAAATGTGTGTGTATTTATAGATATATAAGACGACACTGTATCACACGTTCTTCAAACCCATTGAACACGTGACACTTAAGTACTGACTTGTGCGTGACACTAAAGTACTGACTTGTGCGTGACACTAAAGTACTGACTTGTGCGTGACACTAAAGTACTGACTTGTGCGTGACACTAAAGTACTGACTTGTGCGTGACACTAAAGTACTAACTTGTGCGTGACACTTAAGTGCTGACTTGTGCGTGACACTAAAGTACTGACTTGTGCGTGACACTAAAGTACTGACTTGTGCGTGACACTAAAGTACTGACTTGTGCGTGACACTAAAGTACTGACTTGTGCGTGACACTAAAGCACTGACTTGTGCGGATGTCACTCTGCCACCTACCGTCACAGCGTCGTCTTCTGATGTCGACGTAACGACACTCTGGCCTGTAGACGCACCCGTGGCCTGGGATGAAGGCGTATCTGGGTTTACATGACCTCCCCTGGGCCACTCCGTCGACACACTCCCAAAACAGACCGCAGCCTCCCTCCATCTTGTAAGTGTCGCCGTCGTCTTTTCCTCGACACGGATCTGGTGATGAGAACATGATCAAAATGATATAGTGATAAAAACGTTCTCTGAATGAATATAACATGATCTTTAGGGAACACGCTAAGATCTTAGTGACTCTAAGATCTGTTTGAACTGTATTAATATGCCCCTTCGCACGATAAGAGATTAGTGACTCTAAGATCTGTTTGAACTGTATTAATATGCTGCCCCTTCGCACGATAAGAGATTAGTGACTCTAAGATCTGTTTGAACTGTATTAATATGCCCCTTCACACGATAAGAGATTAGTGACTCTAAGATCTGTTTGAACTGTATTAATATGCCCCTTCACAAGATAAGAGATTAGTGACTCTAAGATCTGTTTGAACTGTATTAATATGCCCCTTCACACGATAAGAGATTAGTGACTCTAAGATCTGTTTGAACTGTATTAATATGCCCCTTCACACGATAAGAGATTAGTGACTCTAAGATCTGTTTGAACTGTATTAATATGCCCCTTCACACGATAAGAGATTACCTACTAGAGGAATTTCCTGGTTTCTAAATAAAATAAGTCTTTTTTTTTAAGAGCACTGACTGAGATTAAAATTTGAAGGAAACAAAAAATATTGCTTTTAAACATGTCTGCACTGTCGTTAAACAACTCTGTTTCCAACGGAAGTTGGATCCATAAATTTTCTTTGCTTATGTCATGTCATTCATAGAGAGAGAACTAATTGGAATTCTTAGAAAGTGCGTTACTCGTATCCATTTTTTCCCTAAAATGTTCCTTCCCCCCCCCCCTATCCCCCATTGCTCGATATAACATTTTAGAAAGGACTTATACCAAAAAGTTTTGTTTTTAGGGATGGTTTAATTCTAGCTTAAAAGCCAACCCTGGAAGGACGATCCCAACTAAACACATCTACGCATATCAGGTCTCATCGTACATAGAGAAAGCACATCTTCCTTTGGAAGTTAATATAAGGCAGTAGGCCGGGCATGCCTTCACTCTGACCTCGACATTCTCTGTTGCATTCCTCCCCGGGCTTATCACAAGCGAACTTGGCCTGGTTCCAGAACAATCCCCTTGGACAAGCTCTGACGGAGGCAGTTATCCTTCTGTCCTGAGACACGTGACACTGAATGTACTTGTCGCAGTCGTCGGGGTGAGGAGCGAACAGAAAGCTGTTCATCTTGACTGCCCGAGCGCAGATACCAGCTGGCAAAAAAAAAATATTAAAAAATGGGATTCATTAATATAGATTATATACAAAGACACTATTATGGGCTCACCAACCCGTCTTATCATGAGCTCACCAACCCATCTTATCATGAGCTCACCAACCCATCTTATCATGTGATCACCGACCCATCTTATTTTGGTAAAGTTTGTGGATTTAAAAACAAACAAAAAAACAAAAACTTTGAAATTTCGCTCAAATAGTTCATCCGGGAAGATTTTGTCAAATAGTATGAATAACACACGGAGCTTCCATTTTCGATCGTGTTTACTCCTCTATTCGGTAAATGAAAAGGATTTCATTCTTCTGTTTATCTCTCTATCTGTATGTCTGTATGTCTGTCTATCTTCATATCTCTTTATCCTCTCTCTCTCTTTCTCTCTCTCTCTCTCTCTCTCTCTCTCTCTCTCTCTGTCTCTCTCTCTCTTTATCTCACACATACAAAACACACTCACACTCTCTCTCTCTCTCTCTTTCTCTAAATCATTGTATGTCCATCTCTTAGACAAAAGCGTACTAGCCTATTTAGTCAGTCAACGGAAACGACCTGGATGACCTCAGTTTCCATTAATGTTTCGAGGCACAACTCCATTTTATAAAAGCCAAGTGACCCGTGACCCCAATACATAAACTAACTTCACCTTAAGACACATTTGATGCGGTGGTTTAAACAGTAACCTCTTTAAAAACTTTTAAAACCTCAAGATTTCGCTTATGCCAACGTCATGTCAACCTCATGTCAACCTTATGCCAACCTCATGCCAACCTCATGCCAACCTCATGCCAAACTCAAGCCATTCTCAACATTTCATATATGTTTGATGTTTTAGGTTTTCAGCAGCAGAAATGTTGAAAAATAAGCCACGCGCACACAGATGCATGGAAGCAGACGGTCCCTTATTAACACTTCCCTCACCTGTAGGCGCTGATTTTATTTTATTTTTTAAAGGTGGGGGGAACTCTGCTTTAAAATAAATATTGTCAGTTTAAGGTTAGAGTTTTACCCGGCGATCACTATAAAAAAACCTGCACGACACGAGGGTTCAGGACCAGGGACACAGCGTACAGACCAGGGACACAACGTACAGACCAGGGACACAACACACAGAACAGGGACACAACATACAGATTTTCCACAAACTGCAGATGAAAAACTTTAACTGGAATGTTACAGCCCACCCCTACCCCCTTATACCAGGAAATGTTGCAGCTCGCGTGAACATACCTTCATCTGTGACGTTGAAAGTATCATCGTCACCAGGTTCGTCGTCATCGTCGGGCGGCGTTGAAGCCGTCGGTGTGACAGAATAGGTAGATGTTGGCACGATGGAGCTGGGGTTCACTGGTGTCGTCGTGTGGGGATAACCGGTGGACGCGAGACGCGAGGTGCTGAAAGCCAAGTCAGATCGGCTGGGGATGGGTGAGCTGGGCTGGTTGTATGTGGTCGTGGTTAGGGGCAAGGTTGTGTATGGGGATTGTTTGGGTGGCGTGGTCGATGTTGTGGAGGTAGACTGAAGTGTGGCTAATGTCGTGCTGGACCACATCGAAGACGAGGATTGCATGACTTGAGTGGGGGTTGGTGTGGTGCTGTACTTTATTGAAGGCGATGATTGGAAAGGCTGTGTTGGAGCAGCTGTTGGGCTGTTGATGGAAGATGTTGATTGAATGAATGGTGTTGAAGCTGTTGTTGGGCTTAAGTTAATGGAAGAAGATGACGGGATTGGTTGTGTTGAGGTTGATATTGGACCTACGTTTATCGAAGAAGATGACGGGATCGGTTGTGTTGAGGTTGTTGTTGAGCCTACGTTTATCGAAGAAGATGACGGGATCGGTTGTGTTGAGGTTGTTGTTGGGCCTACGTTTATCGAAGAAGATGACGGGATCGGTTGTGATGAGGTTGTTGTTGGGCCTTCGTTTATCGAAGAAGATGACGGGATCGGTTGTGTTAAGGTTGTTGTTGAGCCTACGTTTATCGAAGAAGATGACGGGATCGGTTGTGTTGAGGTTGTTGTTGAGCCTACGTTTATCAAAGAAGATGACGGGATCGGTTGTGTTGAGGTTGTTGTTGAGCCTACGTTTATCGAAGAAGATGACGGGATCGGTTGTGTTGAGGTTGTTGTTGAGCCTACGTTTATCAAAGAAGATGACGGGATCGGTTGTGTTGAGGTTGTTGTTGAGCCTACGTTTATCGAAGAAGATGACGGGATCGGTTGTGTTGAGGTTGTTGTTGAGCCTACGTTTATCGAAGAAGATGACGGGATCGGTTGTGTTGAGGTTGTTGTTGAGCCTACGTTTATCGAAGAAGATGACGGGATCGGTTGTGTTGAGGTTGATGTTGGGCCTACGTTTATCGAAGAAGATGACGGTATCGGTGGTGTTGAGGTTGATGTTTGTGCAGTTTGCGTCGACCCACTCGAATCAATGCGAGGGTTTGGAGACACCGTGCTCGTTGATTGGCTCGACTGAATTCCTGTGCTGACCACGATCGTTGACGTCACACTAGTCGGAACAGCAGCTGCAAAAATTATTGTATATAATAAGATAAGATTCTTTTATTGATCCAAACAAATGGAAATATTTTTCATTGCATTGTACATTTTCAACACATAAATATAAAAATTTGAACACAAGACATCTTTATTAAATTATTTCACTAGTAAAAAGAATAATAACACAAAAAAGAATAATAGAAAGAATCACGAAGCATGTAGTGTTAAATCATCATGTGTAAATTGTTAACCAAAATGATGACGCTAAATAGTGGAATGCTTTTATCCGATGGAATCAATCAACGGTTGAAGGCATAATTTTTTTGTTATTTTGAAGCGGCGCAACAGAGCGAATGTGGCCCGCTCACAAGTTATCCCGGAGAAGTTCATCAGCTGATACGAAAAATTACTTTAAACACATTGCTTTCAGATCAGGTTACAGAGCTATTGATACGTCATGTGACTTAATAAGCATTGATTGAAGAACAAGTCAGACCGAGCCATTCAAGTTTAGAGAGTAATGGACCTGGAACTTTTTCTTTTCAGCCCTTTAACTCCAGCACTAGATCTTAAACCATTATTATTACCCCTTGTTTTTTTGGGGGGTTTTTTGTTTTTGTTTTTTTTGTTTTGTTGTTGTTTTTAAAGCCGTGTTTTTAATTATTCCAAACAGCTCCTCTTATTTTCTTTATTCAGACGAAGGTGAGTCTTCTAAAATATTTAACATAATTAGGACAATAACTGCCCCTGTAATCATTTATTTTAACTAAGGAATTTTGGTGTGTGGAAATAACATGCCCCTCCCAACACTAGACCTCTTTTAAACGGCCCAAGGTAGATTTAATGAACCATGCAAACAACTACATACTAAGGATTTTAAAAATTATTTTTTTTTACTTTATTTTTTAGCTGGTAATTAATTTTAGGAGCACAGTTTTCAACTAATTATCGCCATTTTAAAGGACTTTCCAACTTTTTCACACATAAGGTCAGATTGACATAAAGCTGAGCTTGACATATTGGTCAGATCGACATATTTGTTCAAATTAAAATCTGTAGTTGGAGCCTTTTTTTTTTAAAGCAAAAATGAAAGCAACTCTCATTTAAATACATCTGGGTGATCCTTTGATCTCCACTTACTCAAATTTATTAATTGATATCTATTATAGAATATCCGCCGGCAAAAGCAAGGTGAACAAAGATTTATTTTTTTTCCTTCAAAGCTGTGGTCATCTGTTTCGGGAAAGAAACATCCGGTGACCGTCTAACATCCTTACTACATACCTGGGAGGCCGATGTCAATGGCAGGCAGCACGTCGTCAAAGGTATCGTTGTTGTAGACCCTGGAGATGTTGCCCGTGTACCACAGAGACTCGAGCAATCTGACGTTGCTACCGATGCCGATGACGTAGATGTTGACGCCGTAGTCGCGACACGCCTCTGCTGCCTGCAAGAAAATGTCCTTCATCTTTTGAGGGAATTTTTTTTTTTTTTTTTTTTTAAATTAAAAAAACAAAACAAAACAGGATCAGTAAAAACAATGTCCCTTCTAGGGCGTTAACATGATGGGAAGGGTCGCTTACAGCTGATACAATTTGTGGGAGGCGGGGCCAATTTGCTTTGGCACAACTTTTACAGGCGCATTAATTTTCACAAATTTATAGTTTTATTTAATTTTTTTTTTTCTTTCATGCTGCACCTTTCAAAGCCTTTGGCTCAAATTTTAAGGATGTATTTTAAAAATGGGGCAAATTTTTTAAGTCCAACAAGACGATTTCAGAGCGAAGTTTTTTAAGCTGAGGGTGAGCCAATGGGTTCTTAGTCAAACGAATGACCTCGGTCTGAAATAGTCCCATAGACTCACTATCAAGGCTGTGTATGTGTAGGCCCTACCACACATTTGTCAAACAAATATATTCTAAGGACGAGTGCTGGCGACATATTAGAAATGGTATTGTTGATCAGAACGTTTCTAGTTAAATTATTCTACCTACCCCGAGTTTAAGAGAGACACAATTAAAGTGACCTAAATCATGTTTTAGAGACACACAATTAAAGTAACCCAACTGGTATTTTAGAGACACACATTTAAAGTGATCTAACTGGTGTTAGACACAATTAAAGTGACCTAAATCATATTTTAGAAACACACATTTAAAGTGACCTACCCGGTATTATAGAGAGACACATTGAAAGTGACCTACCCGGTATTATAGAGAGACACATTGAAAGTGACCTACCCGGTATTATAGAGAGACACATTGAAAGTGACCTACCCGGTATTATAGAGAGACACATTGAAATTGACCTACCCGGTATTATAGAGAGACACATTGAAAGTGACCTGCCCGGTATTTTAGAGAGACACACTGAAAGTGACCTACCCGGTATTATAGAGAGACACATTGAAAGTGACATACCTACCCGGTATTATAGAGAGACACATTGAAAGTGACCTAATGAAAGTGACCTACCCGCTATTATAGAGAGGCACATTGAAAGTGACCTAATGAAAGTGACCTACCCGCTATTATAGAGAGACACATTGAAAGTGACCTACCTACCCGGTATTATAGAGAGACACATTGAAAGTGACCTAAGGCAATTTTTCCCCTCATGAATAAGAATAAATCGATGTTGGTTTAATCCGAAGGTCATTTGAATGGGGATCTTACCGTTCTGGTGTCCAGGGGCAGTCTGACGGTCCCATCTGTCAGCATGATGATTGACTGCACACTGCCACTTCTGATGCTGTGGGCTGACTGGCAATGGACATAAAAAGTTTTTGCATTAATGTGCGGGCACAACACTGTCTGCATGTTTCTGGTGGTTTGGGCATTTGGGTGCACATGTGGGAATGTTCACTTGGGCATTTGGGTGCACATGTGGGAATGTTCACTTGGGCATTTGGGTGCACATGTGGGAATGTTCACTTGGGCATTTGGGTGCACATGTGGGAAAGTTTACATGCACACGCACACGGTCGTGTGTGTGTGTTGTGGGAGGTGGTGGGGGTTTGATGGGGCACTCGCCCAGGACGGCCACATCAGGGGACCACCAAAGCGTCTTAAGACAGGACTTTTACAGTGAATTAAGCTATAAAATCATATCTACTTCTCAAAGCCAAGCAGCGCAAATATACGAAATTCACTGGTCCGCCTGAGCGGATCTTTTTTTTCTCTCGATATATTGAGAGTGGGTTTTTCAGGCTTCACTCCGGGGGCTGCATTTCCTCGGCACGGCCCTGTGTACGCACGTGTACGGCTGCATGTGCATTTATGTGAAAGGATATGTATGTGTCTGAATGTTTGTGCATGAGTTTGCAGGAGCGTCCATTGATGTAGTTTCGCCTGTCCCATATTTGGTATTTGCATTCGCATTACATCATTAAGTTTACTGTCCCATCGGTTACTCGGTTTAATCTTTTCGTGAGTGCACAAGAAAATGGCATTAAATGAATCAGTATAGTGAAGGGGTAAGATTGGTGTACAGCAAATGGGCTAGTGGGGCAAATAGCCATTGGGTGATACCGCACTCCATTTTGGCGTCAACCGAGTATTTTCTTATATTGTTTGTTCTATGTCAAACATAAATGTTGTTTACGTTTGTTATGTGTGATATATTAAGCTAACCTCTAATTGGAATAAAGTGTTGTTGTTGTTTTTTTTTGTTGGTTTTGTTGTAGTTGAACATGCAAAGATGTCCTAGGAAGTACTGTTCATAAATCCACCCAAGATGTTTGACATTAGGAGATTGGTCATCATTGTGTCCATAAAGATGTTTGACATTAGGAGATTGGTCATCATTGTGTCCATAAAGATGTTTGACATNCACTTTTGAATTCGCTTTGGAAACATAATTTGTGAGAAGTCAACACTTGTAGATAGGCGTTTTCTTCAATTTCTAAATTTTAAGGAAAAAAAAAAAAAAAAAAAGAAAAAAAAAGAAAGAAAAAAATGACAAACGATGACATGTTTTTATTTTCTTTACGTGACGTAATTCATGATGGGGTCAAAGGGCATGTCGGGAATGGGCGGGAGCCACTCACCGTAAACATGATCAAGGCCTGCTCGAAAGCCAGGTGGGCGTTACTTGCCCTGCCCTCGTAGATCAAGTTCTGTGTCTTCTGTGCGAGTTCCGTTGTGTTGCCGTTGAGGTGGACGACGTCCAGTTGGGAAGAGTAGGCGATGAACCCGACATGGACCTTAAACAAAACAAGACAAGGCCGTGATCTGATGATATCAGGGTGAGGGAGGCTGACACTACTGGCGGTACAATATCGGTCTCGTATTTTTGGTACAACTAAAAGGGATCTAAATAATAATAAATATTCTGATGGCACAGAAAGAGTTTCGTGTCCTGGTGCAACAAAAAAATGAATTTGAAAGAGACGCACATTGTCTACTAACAGCGGCTGTACAGACCAGAGCTGTTACATACCCCATCTTCTGACACTGGCCATTGGTCAATGTATTTGGCAAACACGGCATTAATCTGCTTCCGAAAGTTGGTATTCGTCACAGACAAACTCCCATCTATGAAGAAGATGACATCGTGCTCGATAGTGGCTGAAAGGAGATGTGTTAGAGGATGTTGTTTTTAATTATGACATTGTCTATTCAATTCATTTTAACGACTTTGTTTATTCATTTTTTATGCTTTTTTGAATGACATGTTTATTCAGTTCATTTCTCATATGTTTTTAATTGGCTTGTGTATTCAATTCATTTTTAAAGTTTTTTTGATTGACTTGTTTATTCAGGTCATTTCTAATGTGTTTTTAATTGGCTTGTATATTTAATTCATTTTTAAAGTTTTTTTGATTGACTTGTTTATTCAGGTCATTTCTAATGTGTTTTTTTTTTTGAATGACGTGTTTATTCAGTTCATTTCTAATGTGTTTTTAATGACTTGTTTATTCAAGTCATTTCTAATGTGTTTTTGAATGACTTGTTTATTCAGTTCATTTCTAATGTGTTTTTTTTTGTTTGAATGACTTGTTTATTCAGTTCATTTCTAATGTGTTTTTTTTGTTTGAATGACTTATTTATTCAGTTCATTTCTAATATGTTTTAATGGCTTGTATATTCATTTCATTTTTAAAGTTTTTTGATTGACTTGTTTATTCAGATCATTTCTAATGTGTTTTTAATGGCTGGTATATTCAATTCATTTTTAATGCTCTTTTGAATGACTTGTTTTTTCAGTTCATTTTTAATCCTTTTTTTTTAACGACTTGCTTACACGGTTCATGTATAATGGCACGGATATAAGAAATTTAACAACAAAGTAATTTTACATTTATTTGTTATGAGATTCCAGGCTTGAGTTTATTGCAAGGGCTCTCACCAGGTTCCCCAATGACCCCAGGGTTGCGTGAAAAGGTGTCACGGGGTACGTGACGTGCTTTTAGTGCCTTAAAAAAAATCATCCATTGAAGGTTCTATGGCCATGATCAGACTGGTAACCGGGTCCATGGACAAAAAAAATATGAAGAACCCTTGACTTAAAAAAGAGTGACTCGGAATCTAAAGCAAAAGTTTTAAAGATAAAGAATTTGAGGTTGGTGGAGGGTGAAGTAGAGGACGCGAACAAGTGGGAAACAGTGTCAGAGATATAAATATAAAAGTGTCGGAGTGGGGTGGTGGTGTAAAGATAATCCACTATCCCGAAGGATATTATGTTTCAGATCCACTAAATTATTTCTAATTAAATCCTTTTATAGCTTGGCAAACAAAGTGGAATAACGTTCACCACTTTGATGACATTTGATTCTTTGAACGTAAAATAAAGACAGATGATTTTAGTCTTTCAACAAAGTTAAACGTGTACTACGCATATCTTGCAACTGGAGAATCATTTTTTAAATTATTGTTTAATGTTTTTGATTAATCAAACAACGCATATATTTCATATAGGAAGGTAGGACTACGTAGGAAAAAATATTTATTTTCTGACAGAAGGAGAGCAAATGGGTTGGTTCATATCATATCCGCTTTCATATCGTTTATGGTTGTCCTGCTTTGGCTGAGTAAATATGTATAAGACGACAGTGTCGTATATTGAAAGGAAATACATTAAATTTTGGTTTAAAAGAATGCAGTTTTAATTTTTTTTTTAAACAATTTAAAACATAAATTATTATTTCTGTTTTAGTTAGTCCTACTCAACTTACTGAAATTGAGTTTAGAAAGAACAAACATGATTTTTTATAAACATCCAAATTGAAAACATTTTACTAAAACTTTGACGTACTAGTAAAAGAATTATTAAACTAACTATATTTTGCAATTTTAATAACGTTAGGCTAAAAAAAACAATGAAATAGACCACTTAAAATATATAAACAGCAATGACGCTTTGTCCCAGGGGGGTGATATTTACACTTTGTCCTGAACCCATCTTTAACACTTAGTCCTGGGCCTAATATTGACACTTACTTAATCCTAGACATATCATTGACACGTAGTCCTGTACCTATGATGTATAACAAGCCAGTACAAGAGCTATGGATCTAATAATACCCTGTGACCTAACATTGCTGTAACAAAGACACTTACCCTGTGACCTAACACCGACATAACAATAACACTTACCCTGTGACCTAACATTGACTGAGCTGGAGAAAACTAGGAGCAGAATCAGTGACACATGCCATGGTGACGTCATGTCATGTCACCTTTCTTGGCTGGAAAATAAGATGATAAGAGAAATAATAAATTTACTTCACACTTAAATGACAAATATCTTGTTAAAATTATTATAACATAAATTTATTTGGCACGATTGATTTTTATTAAAAATTTTTATAGCATCCTCCCCTGGGACGTCATTTGGGTAGGGCAGGGTGGGGCATATCCCCACCCCTCCGAAAATGCAGGTTTTATTTCAATAGCTATGTACTGTGGGGGGCCTCTAGTAATAAATAACTAAACAGGCCAACTAAGTTTTATTTTTGCCCCCCCTCCCCACCTGAAAAAACCTGGAATAACGCCCCTGTCCTCACCTCCCCCACCATCTGGCGCCACATCGTCCCACTACATATGGTCCAAATCCAAAAAAAAAAGATACTCTATGCAATAGTTAATTGCCCGTAAACAAAAAAACTGACCTAAGGCGATTGACTTTCACGACCATGAAATGAGTCTAACAGTTTTTTTTTTTAAATTCTTTTAGTGAACTAGGCTTAACCGACATCACCATGCTTATCTTATGGCCCCATGGAACAAACTTCACTTAGAATGTTTACGCTCATGGGTGGGGGGGGGGGGGGGGGGGGGGTGTCAGCATTTCTTGTCAGACGTGTTGAGCGGCAGTGTATCTTCCGGCGCCAAAATTAGGAGTAAGGGTGACCAGGGCTGGCTGAAATTAAATTCATTCAAGTTGTGGTGGCCATACGGGAGGACTTTAGGACCCAGCTTAGCTCCCCAACCTCCAAAAATCAAAACACTGTTGTCTATAATAATAATTAGCCCAACTATATATATATATATATATATATATACGCAAAAAGAAAAGAAAAAATATTCATCTTTTTCAGTTCAAGATAAACAAACAGTATTTCCATAATTTAATTATTATTATTTTTGTTCAGTTAGAAGGTGTTGATATTGTCATTATGATCGGGGACGGGAAAGATCGAGGGAGCCGATGGCTCTGAAGAGGAAGCTTATAAGAGAACGCTTATAAGAAGAAAAACAAAAGTGGGGGGGGGGGGCAAATGAAGTGGTGTATTTTAGCGCAAATCTGAATTTTGAACCCATCATTCTACACTTGATCGGGGAGGCTCCGAAGAGATGCTAGGGGAAATTTAGGCTTCCTTTCATCTGTTTGTGTTAAACAAATACTTTATTTTCAGTTAGGACTAAACAGATCTTTTTAAACTCTACTGTCCTAACTGATTCCCGCCTCTGACCGAAAAAAAGATGCTGCTGGGTGTCGCCCATGGCTTGACTGAGTGTCGCCCATGGCTTGACTGAGTGTCGCCCATGGCTTGACTGAGTGTCGCCCATGGCTTGACTGAGTGTCGCCCATGGCTTGACTGAGTGTCGCCCATGGCTTGACTGAGTGTCGTCCATGGCTTGACTGAGTGTCGTCCATGGCTTGACTGAGTGTCACCCATGGCTTGACTGAGTGTCGTCCATGGCTTGACATGGAACTAGTTTTAAATCTACTTTGTTTTGTTTTATTTAATTAAATGTATGTTAATTATTTTTTTAAAGTTTTTGCTTATATGTTTTGAATTGTATGTACAACGTGGTGAGCCCTGGCCTAGGCAGTGGTACCACGCTATATAAAACCACTTATAATAATAATTATTATTATTATAATAGCTATGATGGTTTTTATGTATTTATTATTTTTATTTAAACAATTCATTTGACAAAACATGAATACAAGTTACGCTCTTTATAAGAATATTTAGTGCCCCCCCCCATCCCGGCTCGCAACCGCATATTTTTTCAAGCCCCTGAACTGTATTAATATTCTTATGTCCTACCCGATTTTACACCAAGATTTATTACACCTACTATTTCTGTAGAACAAAAGAAGTATATAGACTACGCACCAAAACGCACTTGTGATAGTCTTAAGAATCTCATTTAGCGCAGCTGTCGGGAGTTTTATTTCGTGAGATCAGTGGCGTCTGCTAGCGTTAAACTGATTTTTGGGGTTGGGGTAGGGAGATGGGGGCTTAATGTTTTATGCAATGAGTTGTCATCGGTATCGAGTCTATGTGCCGAGTGTCAGCTCGATAGGCTGACGGGAAATTGGTCGTCAAGTAGCCGTCCGAAGATTTTGCGTTAAACGCACGAACAAAAGCGAAATTAATTCAAATGTGCTTGAAATTTCTTTATGTACATGATGTACGTTTATAAATGGGAATGTACATGCACTTTTTTTTTTGTTGTTGACACAACAGCGTTACCACGATTTGTTTGATGAACAGATCGGCATGTTTTATAAATGTACATACATGTTTGCTAACAACACAAGGCATATGCGGGGTGCCACTTTTCCGGATTATCCTGGAATTCCGAATTCTTGAAGCTAAATATTTTTCAGCTCCGGATTCGCGAGTTTTAATTTTCTCTCGCTCCGGGATTCTCCAGTTCAATTTCTTCAAATACGGACGGATTCTGGGCTTTAAAACAAAACAAAAAAAAAATCAACGTGAAAGTTAAGAACGCGTGAAAGCCTATTCATCTACAAGCGGGTTCGCTATAGATAGAACAGTTCCTGCGACCTCTCTCCTTTGTTTGCAAGCCTCTCGCTCCTCGCGTCCTGCTGTGTCAAGTTAATGGCACGGACAACGGTATTGTCACTTTCATTTTAATTATACTATAATTTGAAGTTGGCTCGTTTTTTGTTGAATAGGCCCAAATATGTTTTCAAAAGCCGACGATTGGTCATTGGGATAGAGATAACCGGCGTTAAGCGGCAATTTTGGTCGCCTCTTGCGTTCGAGATATCAGGGTTTGGCGACATAAAAGAATCGACTGAACCAATGAGAAAAATGCTTTAAAAAAAAGAGAGAATTTTGAAGTTCGACTTCAAAAACGTCAACAGGACAGGGTTGGCGAGTTAACCGAGGTCGAGATAAGTGGGTTTGACGGTATAATAATTTAAAAAAAAAAAACATTTTCTAAGTATTTATAACTTTAGCCAGATATAAATTTTGGTGAAAGATTTTGTAGAAAAGTTGTATATATCTTTTATGGCTATTTAAAACTGGTCATTAAAAAAAATATGTATATAAAGAATATATTTACTAAAGACGTCATAATATATTTATTAATGTGTCATTTATCTGACGGATATCAAAGGAATAAATTCAATAGATATAGATTGAAAGGTTCATTTGGAGTTTCAAGCTACCACAACTTTCTTCAAATAATTACACTTTCTCTTTATAATAAGGAAAAGAGAAAGGGAAGAGGGGAAAGTTGGTCCGCTGCGACTGAACTTTATATCATTTTCCCCTATTTAATCTCTCACCCACTTATTTTCTTTCACAATTCTTTTGCTGCCCTCTCGGATACTACTTCTCAGCTAAGTGCTATTTTAAAAATTGTATTCTATTTTTTTTCTGTTGTTTGTTCGCTGACGAAGGCTTCCTGCCCACACGTTCGTTGTTTTATTGCATTCCTTTTTTTTTTTCAGGTGTGACCTTACTTTGTTTTACTCATTTCCTATTTAATTAGGTATACGGAGTGCGACTAGACAAGGTATTTTGTCTTTACAAGTTCCCCTTAAATTATTCCGCGAATCACTTAGAAATTCACTTTAAAAAAGTACCTATTTCATCCACTCAGCCTACCAAACTAAACCGTGTGTCAACATTCTTCACACATCGAAGAACGTGTCTCGTGCAAGTCAAGCACTCGGGACAACACTGTCAGGCCCTCGCAACGATCTCGTTATACATTCCGTACAGTCGTCGAAATAAATCAAGCACAGTTAATAATAGTTACACATATTATTATGACACGCGACTTTCAATCTTATCCCAATTTGTTATTTCAAACATTTTTCGAAGATCCCATGTCACTTCTACTAACCTTCTTTTGCGTTAATAAGTAAGGCACGATTGATAAACTCCCTCGAGTCAACGCATGAAGCAATGGGCTAAAACAGAATCGGGAGTTATCTCTCTTCGGATAGACCCTTTCTTCAGGCCCAGACCCTATGCTAACAGTTTAGAGAACACGACATCTCTGGGGAAACTTCATATGAAGATTACCTATGGGGGTCAGAGTCGGAATTAGATGTGGGATCCTGACTACTAAAAGAGCTACCCCATCTTCACGTCTGCTAACAGTAAGTTGTTTTTTTTTTTCTTTTATATCTTTAAAAAGTATACAGTAAAGAATATTTGTATTTGAATGTTACGCATGATTACAAGCAAATTATTGGATCACTAAATCGCCGATTTGCTATTTTCAGAGATACGCCTATGATCAAGGTGTGTCATGGGCAGACTCCGGTTGTGGCAGTCTCCGGCAAATCGCGGAGAGCGCAATTCATGTGTGTATACAACGAACACCGCACCAGCGCCCTAGGTCCTGAATAAATATTTGAACAGAGATACGTTCATAAGAGTAATACAATTTTGTCACAAGTGGCTTCCCTGTGTGATTCTGGGAAGTTACTGGTTTAAAAAGGTAGAATTGGTTGATAGATAGGTATGAAAATGTAGGAATTTATCAGGATTTTAAATATGGAAAAAAAAATGATGACGTCCACGCTTATTAAGATGCTACTCAGATACACAAATACACAGATACCTAGTCAAAAATGTATCATTCATTGAAATCCTCCAGGCAGCCGAATGGATAAAAGTATTAATTTACCTATGGCTGACCGTCAAAGAATTATTATTGGTCCATAGTAAAGGTTATAACATAGCTAGGTGAACGAATTTATGACGTCAGTGGTGTGAATACTTGTGTAGTTTCCAGTCAAAGTTTTCCTACAATTAAATTAAAATACAATAAAAAGATAGAAAATAATTAAATATTTATTAAAATTCATTTAGCAAAGAATGAATGTGTAGAAAATATTTTCCAAAATTAATCTTACAAAAAATAAAACATTTAAGTTTTGTTTACATTAATTTCGAATCATTTGGGTTCATAGAGTGCTCATCTACACTTCTGCATAATGTTATATATATCTTTTTCAATGAATTATTTCCTTCCGATATTTGTACACTGTGGCTTTTATCTTTAAGAGAGTAATAGAGGGGGATAGAGCGAGATAGACAGATAGATATATAGATAGAGAGAGAGCGAGAGAGAGAGAGAGAGAGAGAGAGAGAGAGAGAGAGAGAGAGAGAGAAAGAGAGAGAGAGAGAGAGAAGGGGAGAGGCGAGAGAGAGGAGATAGATAATATGTGATGATTTAAATTTCCTATTTCCAACTGTCATACTACACCTGGAGACAGTTCTTCCTGATACATGTTTCTATATGCTTCAATATTGCCCCCACCCCTATGATTCACTGGGCCAATACATCAGGTTTCTGACCACGCATACATTATATATGAAACATATGTTATCCATACATCCTGTATACCATTATGTCTACACACTTAAAAGATAGTTGTGTCCACAAAAATATGTCATGGTGCGGTCCCGATCAGCAAGTGGTAGTCAGGGAATCTGGAACAGCGTTCAGTTTTGGTCAAGCGTTATTTTACCTTCAGTTTTGTCAAGACTTTGGTCGATGCGTTAAAGCAAATGGTATTTGCAATAAACCAGTGCTGGCTGCAACTACCTCATGGTGGGTACAATAAATACATTGGTTAAGAAATACCTTACTAATTATTATAAAATCTAATCGGAATTATAGCCGCCCACAATATAGCTATACCCAATGTGGTCATACCCAAAATAGCTACACAGAATGTAGCCACACATAATATAGCCACACAAAAAATAGCCATACACAATATAGCCACACACAATATGGCCATAAACAATATAGATACACACAACATATCCACACAACATATCCACACAATATAGCCATACAAAATATAGCCACACACAATATAGCCACACACAATATAGCCACACACAATATAGCTACACACAATATAGCCACACACAACATAGCTACACACAATATAGCCACACTCAACATAGCCACACATAATATAGCCACACACAATATAGCCAAACACAATATAGCCAAACACATATAGTCACACACAATATAGCCACACACAGTATAGTCATGCACAATATAGCCACACACAATATAGCCACACACAATATAGCCACACACAATATAGCCACACACAACACAATATACGTGAGAGTAGACGGGTAGAAATGTTAACAGGCAAAAGTCAAAATTACATTCATATTAAACAATGAACTGTGAACAAGAGAAGGACGCAGGAATAAATGACTCTTCAAAGTGCGTCTTATCTGGAGAGAAAATACACTTCAACTGTTAAGACATGTTTTCAAACAAAAAAAATATTTAGTTTGAATTTACTGCAATGAAAAGTGGGACAGAACCAATCTGGCATAGAGCCGCACTACAGAGTTGCTCTCCCTTGCCTGAAAGTATCGTATTTAAATTTTATTTCATTTGGGACGGTGGCCTGAGAAGTGCGAGAACCACTGATTTTAGATGGTAAAACGACTTGGATCATGGCCTGATGTCAAGAGCTCTTCTTTTTTTTGTCCACCATCACCACATATCCAGCCTGCCACTAGCCCCCCTCCATACTCTTTTTTCACCCCTTTCCCAGTGTGACAATATTTGCTGCCGTTAAAAACTTAATTAGGAGAATCTGAGAACCCCCGGCCAAAAATTATTTTCAAAAAGCTTTAATACTTCAGACATCACAAGTCAAACATCAGCCGTAATGTAAGTGCACACACCTATCTAATACAGTCCTGTTACACACACCCCACAGAGTTTGAGATTTCACCACAAACGTTCCCCAGGGGTCCTCAATCGGCTAAACACGATACCGGGAAGGTAACAACACTACTTAACCTATTAACATTCCTACCTCAACATCGGTAATTTCGAAAGCCCATTAAACTGTTCATTCAATGGTCTCCATTCAGTCCATTCGCTGACTACGTCGAACTTGGGGAAAAGGTAGCACAGGATGGTTCGTACCGAGGCTCCATTCATTAAGGCTATTTTCTTTCTATTCAGACCAGTCCATCAAATAACTGGAGCTGGTCCTACGGCGTTGTGAGATCAAACTTTTACACCCCCCGCCCAACCCTCCTTTACCCCCCCTCACACACACACACACAGATGTTCCCAGTTCACGCCTTCTCATCGAAGTACTTGTAAATTGAAAGGTTCTGCGGCGGTTGGCGACTAAGGCAGGATGGGTGTTGGAACCCTTGCGTTAAATCAGCGGGGAAATATAATTGTCTGATGCACACGAAATAACGCTACAAATGATGCACACGCAATAACACTACAAATGATGCACACGCAATAACACTACAAATGATGCACACGCAATAACACTACAAATAATACATGGACAAAATAACAATATTACATGATTAAAATAACACTAAAAACATACATGGACAAAAAAAACAACAACAAACATACATGGACAAAATAACACTACAAATATTACATGGACAAAAGAACACTACAAATATTACATGGACAAAATAATACTACAATCGATACATGGACAAAAGAACACTACAAATATTACATGGACAAAAGAACACTACAAATATTACATGGACAAAATAATACGACAATCCATACATGGACAAAAAACACTACAAATATTACATGGACAAAATAATACTACAATCGATACATGGACAAAAGAACGCTACAAACGATACATGAATAAAAATAACACGACAAACAACACTCAATATATGCATCAGAACATTTCGAAAGCTACGCAAGTAAATAGATTGCATTTTTTAAAACACCCTCTTAAAGCATGAAATGTGCGTCGACCGAAGTTGAGAAAAATCAAAGCTATGCAGCAGAACAAATAAAACACACAGGGATAAAGTTTCACTAAGAAATATGTCATTTGCATGGCGGTCTCGCCTGTTTGATCTTGAAAACACAAGGGACCTCAATAAAAGAGTTGGTCCATTTTTGTAAAATATCAAGTTTCCGTCATTCATGGCAAGCCGGACACGCTACAATGACTTTAAAATCAGAATCCAAAAATTATAGAAAGACAGTACGCCGAAGTATGTGTGGGTGAGGATGTGTGGGCGTGGTGCTCCTGTCAGAGGGAGGGGTGGATCGGGATGTGAGAGGCTGGTGCTCCTGTCAGAGGGGGGATGGATTGGGAAGTGTGGGGCTGGTGCTCATGTCAGAGGGAGGGATGGATCGGGAAGTGTGGGCGTGGTGCTATGTTAGAGGGAGGGGTGGATCGGGATGTGAGGGGCTGGTGCTCCTGTCAGAGGGAGGGATGGATTGGGAAGTGTGGGGCTGGTGCTCCTGTTAGAGGGAGGGGTGGATCGGGAGGTGTGGAGGGAGGTGATTCTGTTAGAGGAAGGGGTGGATCGGCATGGGTGGGGGTGGGGCTCCTGTCAGAGGGAGGGAGAGTTAGAGGAGGGGGGGGGTCGGGATGGGTGGGGGTGGGGCTCCTGTCAGAGGGAGGGGTGGATCAGGATGTGTGGGGGTGGTGCTCCTGTCAGAGAGAGGGTGGGATCGGGAAGTGTGGGCGTGGTGCTATGTTAGAGGGAGGGGTGGATCGGGAAGTGTGGGGGTGGTGCTCCTGTCCGAGCGATGGATGGATCGGGATGTTTGGGCGTGGTGCTTCTGTCAGAGGGAGGTTTGGGTCGGGATGTGTACGAGGGAGGGGCGGGTAGGGTTTGAAAAGAGAGTTCGTTAAATGTTTGTTTTTTTTTAGGTTTTTTTTTAGATTAAACTTGAGACTATCTCCTGAAAGCTATTTGTTTTTTTTATTTAAATTATGATATTATTATTTAAAGGGTTGTTGATCAAAAACAGAAAACAGTATTTGAAAAGTTAAAGCCCTATCAAAGATGATATTATTTTTTTAAATATTAAAAAT